GTCTTCCTTCCGTTGGTTCACCCCCAAAATGGCTGCTATGGCTGGCGCTGCGCCGATCCGAAGCCAGGAGCCAGGCGCTTGCTCCCGGTCTCCCATGCAGGTGCATGGCCCAAGCACTTGGGCCATCCTCCACTGCACTCCCAGGCCACAACAGAGAACTAGACTGGAAGAGGAGCTACTGGGACAGACCCCAGCGCCCCAACCAGGACTAGAACCTGGGATGTCGGCGCCGCAGGCTGAAGATAAGCCTAGTGAGCCGTGGCGCTGGCCCCTTGTGCTCTTAACACTATAATATGAAATCTGTTCCCTATATATGAATTTTTAAAAGTTTAAAAAATAAAAAAGGGTGTCTAAAGTCATATTTAAAATCTGGAACAATATTTTGGATAGTTATTTAATTCAATTTTTATATTAAAGTTTATTTTTCCTGATTTAACCTCCATAATTCAGATGTCTAGAATTTTTTTTTAACTGGAACTGCTTAAATTAGGAAAGTAGACGAATAGCAACAAACAATGAAAGATCAAATGTTCTTAGTAAAATTCATAAAATTCTACACAAAACACATATAAATGATGGGCTATAATTTTTAAATATTCTAAAACCTTATAAATTTTTCTCTTTTAGACACATTCTTCATTTTAGTTCCTGATATCTAAAATTTTATAAAACTACAAACTGATTTGTTTGAAAACTGCAAGCTGGAATAAATCTACAGTAGCATTCTATCAGAAAATAAAAATTGTATCAAGATAATAAAAAGACCACAATGAGTTTCAAGACCATCCCTAGTATTCAAGAGAAGGTTCTACGAATCTTTCCTACCTGCAGTGAACAATCATAGGTGTGGTGTCATGGGCTCTGCTTGCTCGGACCAGCTTCACAAAGTGGATCAGAGGGGCACTGTTTTCAGGAACCCCATGCTCCGGCCAACCAGTAAAGTTACACTGTTGAACAGTCATGCAGTCCCCATGCTGGATAAAGGGATGGAGCAATGAATGATCAAATTAGTTAGGTACTATATGAAGGGTGCACTCAATCGATGGCCCAGATTTTCAAGACCTTTTAAAAACAACTACTTACCAAACATAACAAATTCTGTTTTTATTGTTTCTTATGAGAGTTTTTATTGTTAAATAATCACCTTTATGTATTTTAATGGCAACAATAAGCTTACAAATAGATGTTAATACAGATTATTAATATTCCAATGTGGTTTAACATTTTATAGCACAAAGAATAGCACATTTTAAGCCATTCTGTTCCCAAAATAAGTATCTCACACGTCAGAGAGCATATAAAGCCGTATATCATTTTCTGCGTGGATAGGCTATTATACAGACCTACACAGTGTGACCCCACACTCTCTCTCCTCTATTGCTTCTGGATTAACTACAAAATCAAGTTTTTAGGGTTCAGATAGAGATAAGTGATTTGGAAAATTGCTATCTTAAGTCAAATATTATTTCTTCATCAAATAAAATAAATTTACTGGTCTAGATCACTTTTCTTCATTTTTCTGTTTTTGTCAGTGTAAGAATTTGGTGCCAACTGGCTAATAAATACTTTAACCATGTGATTCGAATTAAATACAGTGACACAGATAAGAGATATCAATTTAAAACTTCCTTCTAGAAGATAGTCGAAAAATATTGAATGTATACTTGTCCTTGCAATGGATAGTTCCAGTTATTTTAGTCATTGAGGCCTTGCATACTTTGTCATGTCCCCTCCTCCCTCTTCCTAGTTTTTTTTTTCTTTTTACCCTTTCAATTTTCAGATCCCTGATGGTCCAATCTACTTGAACATCCTCCACAAGCTTTGTAATCACTATATCTCCAAAGACAGTGACTGGCTTGTTGTCCTCTGGCCAATACTGATGGCATCTGATCTGTATTCAGAGAAAATCACCAGTTACGAGAGTCATTGTTATATTGATATATATCACAGTTATTGCTAAGGTAAAACTGTTCTCTAGATGTCCAAGTTATTGATGACTCACAAGAATGCTGGAACAGTCACACATATATTAACATAAATGTGAAATATGAGTTTATGAAAAGATTTTCAGATAACTCACCCGTCCTTTTTCAAAACACTGTGTGAGCATTACTAATGTTTTTGCTCTGGTTTCCCATACCATTCTCCAGAAGTCTCCCACTGTTCCTGGTAATGGACCTTGAGTAGCAATGAATTCATTTGGACATAAGTATCCCTGGAAGGATATAATCACATAAACTGCATCAATATTTACAAACATAGTATTTTTTTTTTAGTTTTCAATCAATACCTGAAAAATATATTTGTTGTAAAAGGAGCTAATATTTTAAAATTTTAGAACTTTTTTTTAAAGATTTTATTTGAGAGAGTGAGGAACAGACAGAGAGTGAGAGATGGAGAGAGAAAGGTCTTCCATCCTCTGGTTCACTCCCCAAATGGCCACGGAGGCCAAAGCTGAGCCCATCCAAAGCCAGGATCTAGGAGCTTCTTCCAGGTCTCCCACATGGTTGCAGGGGCCCACACACTTGGGCCATCCTCTACTGCTTTCCCAGGTCATAACAGAGCTGGATGAGGAGTGGAACAGCTGGGACACAAACCAACAATGATATAGAATGCCGGTGCCACAGGTGGAGGCTTAGCCAACTACACCTCAGTGTGGGCCCTAAAATGTTACATGTTTTGAATGTTAAATAATCTTACTGAAAATTTTAACATCACAATCCTATATACTACACAGATTTTGCTGACTCATAGGATATTTGCATCTGAGAGGAACAGAAGAACTGACAACGACTCCAAAGAAAGATGGGAATGACTTCAGGATTAGATTTGTAGGGTAAATCAGAAATTCATATTGAATATATTTAACCTGAAATTGCTATCAGATCTTTATATGAGACTTCCCTGACAACAAATAGCTATATGGGTTTGGATTCAAGAAGTTAAAATTAGATGAATTTGAAATTAAGAACATTGATCTTATTTAAAGGCATGAAAATGAATAAAATTACCAAGCAATGAGTTTGGAGATAGTAAAGAACTGAGTTCTAGATCATTTCAATATTTGGATGTTGAGGAGGTGGGAGTCAGTGAGACTGAAAAGAGTTTGAGTTGTTGAGTTGTTGATTGGTCAAATGAAATGGGGATTGAGATTTGATGCTAATTTTTTGAGTAAATAATTATGACCTTGGAAATAGAAGTTTAACATTGTGTCTACAAATGAGCCTGATCTGAAAGTGCTGAAGAGATAAGAAAGGAAAGGAATGGGAACTCTACAGATATCAGAATGGACAACTCTTCAAGGGACTCTAGTCTGAATGGGACGTAGAGCAGCAGGCGACCATGTGTAGGAAATCTTGTTGATGTTTTCCTTTAATTGCTTCCACTTTTTTTTTTTTTTTTTTTTTTTTGACAGGCAGAGTGGACAGTGAGAGAGAGAAAGGTCTTCCTTTTGCCGTTGGTTCACCCTCCAATGGCCGCCGCGGCCGGCGCACTGCACTGATCTGATGGCAAGAGCCAAGTACTTCTCCTGGTCTCCCATGGGGTGCAGGGCCCAAGCACCTGGGCCATCCTCCACTGCACTCCCTGGCCACAGCAGAGAGCTGGCCTGGAAGAGGGGCAACCGGGACAGAATCCGGCGCCCCGACCGGGACTAGAACCCGGTGTGCCGGTGCTGCAAGGCGGAGGATTAGCCTAGTGAGCCGCAGCGCTGGCCGGAATTGTTTCCACTTTATCAGTGAAATGATAAATCCGGTGTAGGTGAAGATGAGGGGTGTGATGTTGGAGAGCAGAGGAGAGACCAAGAGAAACAGTTGAGAAGCGAGGAAGAGTGAATGAATCTTGACACTTAGATGATTAAAGATCTTTTTCAGATTGGTTGCTCTGACTTTAAAATGAGTTGCATTGGCAGGTTCATGAGCTTTTTTCCATTCACATCCAATAGCAGGGAGAAGAATCCACAGATAGTTTTATTTAACCAAAGATGATTATTTATCAAGGAATTGAGAACAAAAGAGAAAACTTCAAGAGCTGAGAGTATATTCACTGGAGATTACAAAACAAAACGGACATGAAATTTAAACTGAGCAAGGAAGAAAGTGAAGTGTTGACTGTGGTAGGGCGAAAACAACTGAAAATATGATAGGATTAGTGAAACATAATTCTGAACAATCTTCCAGAATTATTATAGTTCAGTGTCTGGGAAGAAAGACAATGTTGCGAAGATGGGAGATGCCTGCGGTTAAGATTTTGGGGAGGCCACAAGTATTGGTGGTGATAAGGTTCATGTTGTGAACATGGGGAGTGAGGAGGGCGCTGGAGAGAAGTGTTCAGGAAACTGATGGACGGAGCAATGGATAAATGTACTGTGTGGATTTTAACATCACCAAGAATTATGACAGAAATAATGTTGAGAGTAGAGCAGTGATTATGCAATAAAATCTTTAAGAAATGGAAGGGTATCTTAAGGGTAGTTAAGTTAAAAAAGATAATGTGTCTTTTATTTAGCAACATGAATACAAGACTGGTAATTTTAGGGAAGGGGAAGGGAGAATTAAATGGAGGTAGCAATGAGGAGTGAGAGCACTTGGTCTTTCTTGATATAAGCATGTATGGGAGAGAATGCAGACCTACTGGGGAGCTCTATGAGGGGCACAACATCCTTGGAGAGGAACTGCGGTCCATGAAGAGCAATATAGGTTATGTATCACATACAGTATATTATACTGTGTAATATTATACATATATACATAGATAATTGGAATTGTTTTTTTTTCAAAAGCCTAATATCATTAATACACAAAAATAACACTGTGTGACCCTACTTTTTCAGGATAGTAAACATTCTTCATAAATCTATTTTTTAAAAATTTATTTATTTGAAAGATTGCATTGGAGGGAGAGACAGAGAGAGAGCTATCTTCCATTTGCTATTTCACTCCCCTGATGGCTGCAAAGGCTAGGGCTGAGCCAAGCTGAGGCCAGGAAGTTCAACTGGGTCTCCCACATGGGAATTAGGGACCCAAACACTTGGGACATCCTCTGCTACTTTTCCTAGGCCATTATCAGGGAGCTGCATTGGAGCAGAGCAGCCAGGACATGAATTGGTGGCCATATAGGGTGCCGGCATCACAGGTGGTGGCTTTACCCATTATCCCACAACACTGGTCCTGCTATTTGTTACTTCAAAAAATTATTTTCAGACTATTTAAAAGGAAGGGAGGGAGGGAACAGAGAGGGAGCGAGTGAGAGAGAAACCTGAAACTTCATCTGCTGGTTCATCCCCCGAACGTCCACCTAAGCTGGATCTGGAAGCCATGAGACTAGAACTCAGTGAGGACCTCCCACATGGGTGTCAGTCACCCAGGACTTGAGTCATCAACTGCTGCCTCCCAGCGTGTTCATCAGCAAGAAGCTGCAATTAGGAGCAGGTGGAAGACTTGTTTATTCCTCTCTCAGGAGACTCCACCTTTCAAATAAACAAATCTTCAAAATAAAAAAATAAACTTTTCTGCTTTAAAAGTGCATTTATTTTAGGTAAAATACCAAGAAAACTGTATGTCTCAGGGTAATATGTTTAAGTGGCCAGTGTTGTGGCACAGTGGGTTTATCTGCTGCCTGTAACACCAACATTCTGTATCTGGGTGCAAGTTTGAGTCCTGGCTGCTCCATTTCTGATCCAGTTCCTAATGTGCCTAAGCAGTGCAAGTTATGGCCCAAGTGCTTGGTTCCCTGACACCCATATGGGAGAGCTGGATGGAGTTCTGGGATCCTGGCTTCTGTCTGACACAGCTCTGGCCGTTGTGGCTATTTGGGAATCATTTGAATGATCTGATGGAAACTCAGGCGCGCGCGCTCTCTCTTTCTGCCTCTCTCCCCCTTTCATATAAACACAATAAACCATTTTTAAAAGGCAATATTGTAAGATCGCCACAAAACACATCAAATGCAGGAGTTAAGGGCAAGGTTTATTATTGGATGGGGGAATCCCCATGGGCTGCGGGGAGAAGGCAAGAGAGTAAGAGAGCATGAGAGAGGGAGAGAGAGAGAGAGACACATGTTCAGGAACAGGTTCTGTGTTCAACCTTTGCTGGGGGTGAGTAGGGAAATAGGAGCAGCAAATCCTGTTAGGGTGGGGGTGGAGCTAACACCTGTGATTGGGCCATCTGGTCACCTGCTTCTAGCAACAGCAGCAGGGGCTAAAGCTTAAGATGGCGTCTGGGGCATAGATGGTGCCACAGATAAGATGGTGCCATTTTACTAATAAATATGTTTAAGAAGCGTTTTGTTGTATTCTAAGACTGCCAGTTTTATTTACTATTTCTGCCTCTACCTTTAAATATTTGTATGCAAACTTTTGACATTTTCTGAGAAGAAATGTGTTACCTAGAAATTTGTCCTCTATTGGTAACATAGTTTAGCTGGTTTTTAGAGCTCTAGGATAATAGGAACAAAGTATGAGTTTCATTCTGCATGTCAACTTTTATTATGATCTTTTATCGTAGATGGTAATTTCCAATAGAGCCCTGAAATTAGCTCAGTGACTTTCCTTTGGACTACCAGGCAAGAAATCACAGAATCATCTACCACTGAACATCAACGGCAATAAATACAACATATATTTCTATAGTGCCCCTGATATGTCATATAATGTGAACAGCTGTTTTTATATACATAAACTTCTTTAATCTCCATGGCAGCCTTCAAGAAAGGTATTTACTGTTTTTACTTTATCTATGTAGATCAACAGCTAAAAAATGGCAGCGAAGGAATGTGAACCCAGGTTGGTCTGAACTGTTAATCATTGTACTTATCACATAAATATATTGCTTCTCTGTATGAACTCAATTAATCAGCAATTATCAGTGCCTACTACATTCCAGGCATTATAGGACTGCATGCTAAAAAAGTAATTTAAATACTGCTTATACATTAACTTTTTTATGTTAATTTTATCTACTAGTTATTCAATTATATCCAGTGAATTAGTATTTACAGAGGCAGTTAGGTTTTGAATAAACACGCATATGGAGAAGACAACATCAATCAATCATTTCTTTGTTGCTTTAAGATTTAACTATTTAGGACCCGGTGGTTAGCCAGCGATTATGTTGCCCACCACCCATATCAGAGTACATGGGTTTAATTCCTAGGTGCAGCTCCTGACTCCCAAGTTCCTGCTAATGTGAACTCTGGGAGGAATCAGCAGTTATTACTCAAATAATTAGGCTCCTGCTACCCATGTGTGAGACCTGAATGCATTCCTGGCTCTTGGTGCTGGCCTCTACCCATTCCCAGCCACCGTAGGCAGGGAAGATGAGAACTTTCTCTACGTGCACCTAAATGATCTGTCTACCTTCTCAACAACTCAACCATTAAGTTTAGTGGAGATAGGAATTTCCATTCAATTTGTATGGAAGAAGGTTGGGCCAGTGTTGTGACATAGTGGGTAAAAACCTTGAGATGCCAGAATCCAACATGGGCGCCAGTCTGAGTCGTGCCTGCTGTGCTTCTGATCCAGCTCCCTGCTAATGGCCTGGGACAGGGAGAGGAGGATGGCCCAAGCATTTGGGCCCCTGTCTCCCATGTGGGAGAGCTAGAGTAAGCCATGGCTCCTGGCTCTGGCCTGACCCAGACCTGGCCATTTCAGCTATCTGGGGAATGTACCAGTGGGTGGAGGTTCTCTCTCTCGTCTCTCTCTGTAGCTCTTTCAAATAAATAAGTAAATCTTTTCATAAAAGTTGTATGGAAGAAGTCAGACAGTTTGGATATTGTAAACAATCTGTGGTTCTAGAGACCAGAGCTCTGGCTTTTACCTCATTCCTTTCCAGTAGTGTACATCTTAGAGAAGGCTATTTAAATGAACTTATTATGGTTTCCTAATCGGATATCACAGATGAGTTACTTTCTTGCACACCTCAGAGAGTCCTTTTTTATTTTTTGACAGGCAGAGTGGACAGTGAGAGAGAGAGAGAGACAGAGAGAAAGGTCTTCCTTTGCCGTTGGTTCACCCTCCAATGGCCGCCGCGGCCGGCGCGCTGCGGCCGGCGCACCGCGCTGATCCGATGGCAGGAGCCAGGAGCCAGGTGCTTTTCCTGGTCTCCCATGGGGTGCAGGGCCCAAGCACCTGGGCCATCCTCCACTGCACTCCCTGGCCACAGCAGAGGGCTGGCCTGGAAGAGGGGCAACCGGGACAGAATCCGGCGCCCGGACCGGGACTAGAACCCGGTGTGCCGGCGCCGCAAGGCGGAGGATTAGCCTAGTGAGCCGCGGCGCCGGCCCAGAGAGTCCTTTTGAAGTTGATTTATAAAATAATGCAAAGTTGTTTTGAAAGCTATCTTTTTAATGCATGTACTTTATTAAAGAGATAGACACTGTAGACAGAGTGAGAGAGAGAGGGAGAGATTTTGCATTTCATCCCATATGAGTCATGGTAACGTTGCTGTAAGGTTTGTTATAGTATAGCAGTCACTCATACCACATTATCATTTGCTCATGGCTGCCTGCTCATGCACAATTCTTAGAGGGGGTACTTGTTGTATATGAATATTACTTTGTTCTTTAATCTGTGTGGTTCAGTTACACCTACTAAAACTGTCTGGCTTCCTTCTTAGTCATATGTGTATCTTATACTGTCAGTCACCCCATATTTAGTGGAACATTAGAGATATGAGCTATTAATTTATGTCTACTTACTGGTGAATAAAAAATGCTAAATATCCATAGGTCATTGATACAACCAGTTTTCCTTATCCTGTTCTATGACATGACAAGACATTTGATCATTAGAGCAGTGATTAAATTTAAGCATCTAAATGTATGTTTATGTAAAGAAAACTTCAATATGCTACAGAGTTAAGCCTATAATGAAAATTACTAAGTATAAGATTTCACCAAAATATTAGTTGAATTACATTTTCCATGGAACTAATCATCTGATAAATTAATGAAATATTTGTCCCAATAATAAATTCATGTGGTTCTTTCAATAGATTTAAAGTTGTAGCCTACAAATAAGATGAAATTCAAATGGTACCTTAATTTCTTAAAACCCTCCCTCATTTCCCATGTTAAGAAGTCTTAAATTCTCAATTATTATTCACCCCTTTAACAACAGGATTCTACATATGATTTTAACTTTGGATGAGTAATCATCACTAATATAGGATTTAGAATTAATTCCTTTATTCCTTTTTTCCTCCTTCACAGAGGCTCGGGGGAAACAGGACACATGATGCTGAGGAGGGGCCAGTGTTGTGGCACAGGGCATTAAGCTACCACCTGTGATGCTGCATCCCATTCCTGAGGGCCAGTTTGAGTCCCTGTTGCTCCAATTCTGACCAAGATTCCTGTTAATGCCTGGGAAAATCAAGGGAAATGGCCTAAGTACTCGGGACCCTGCCACCCCGCTGGGAGAACAGGATGGAGTTCCAGGATCCTGGCTTAGGTCTGGCCCAACGCTGGCTGTTGTGACCATTTAGGGAGTGAACCAGCAGATGAAGATTTTTCTTTCTCTTTGTGTGTTTGTGTGTGTCTCCCTCTATCAAATAAATAATTTTTAAAAAAAGATGCTGGGGAGAGGACAGAAGAAGATCCTCATAAAACTTCCTATAAGAAGAGTCTCAGGGCCGGCGTTGTGACACAGCGGGTTAAGACGCTGCTTGTGGAGCGGGCGTCCCTTATGGGGGCAGTTTGAGTCCCCACTGCTCCACTTCTGATCTACCTGGGAAAGCATCAGAGGACAGCCCAACTGCTTGGGCCCCTGCACTCACGTGGGAGACATGGAAGAAGCTCCTGGCTCCAGCCTGACCCAGCCCTGGCTGTTGCGGCCATTTGGGGAGCGAACTGCTGGATGGAAGACCTCTCTGTGTTTCCCTCTGTCTCTGTAACTTCTGCTTTTCAAATAAATAAAATAAATCCCCTTTAAAAAAAGAGCCTCAGTGGAACTGAAGGCAGTGGAGGCCTGAGCAAGAATACCTATGAATAAGAGAATAAAAAACAGTGGAGAAGTGGGCAGCAGAGGACATTCTCAAGTGTCTGCAGGGTCGCCATGATGAAGATGATTAACTTTGCTATCTACTAGAATTGAAGTCAGTGGCTGAAAATAGAAAGGGATTTATCTTGGTTACTGGCACACCTTGCTGTGTACAGAGAATATGTGAACAAACTGTATGACACAGTAGGAAGAGCAGGGCTGTATATCCTGGAGTTGTATACCTGCCACAGACTAGTGAAGTGATTGACAGATTGAAACCTCTATTAGAAGTCTACATATCTCCATCTATGAAATGGGGGTCATGGATAGCTAGCATGTTAAGATCCATAGAAACTGTAAGGCATTTGTTGTTTTAAATAGTTTAAATGGTAATATGATTTAAGCATTTGTATTTTATAAAAACATACTATTTATAAACATAGTAACTTACAGAAACATAGCTGGCATTAATATAATCTGATCCTGGAATACTTGCATCTGCTATCAGCTTCACTCTGTTATTATTATCTGGAAGAAAATATAAAGAATTAATGATAATTGGCACATTAAACTACCATTACTTTTTTAAAATAAAGTAATACAAAGGAGTTCATGATATAACATTCCAACTTTACAGATGGGAACAAAATTTAAAAATTCCCTCTTAATTTTACTACCTAAAGACAGTGGCTATTAATTTTTTCTTGCACATAGTTCCAGAATTTTCTATACATGTATATGTTTAGAAAATTAAGTAGAAATGATGTGATATACAATGTGAAATAGGTTACCTATATCTTTCCAAATGAGCACAAAGGTACCTTGATCTTTACTTTAAAAAGTCATATAGAAAAATGTCATATAGTATTTCATGTTTGAGTGTAACATCTTATTTAGCTCTCCATGATGACTTAATCTCACTTTATTATAACAATGCTGAAGATCATAATTGAACTTTTCTCATAAATGTAGGAGTATATATAGAGAATATACCACCAGTAGGAAAATTCCCAAAGCAAATGTGACTTCAGATTTTGAAAAATATTGTCAAATAGTTCTCTATTTGGGTTAGTTCATACTCTGAATAAAAATGTTTAAACAATCCTGTTTCCTCCTATTTTCACCATTACAAGATATTAAACATTTTCATGTATGTTCTTTCAATATAAATTGATGCTTCATGGAATTGATTTGTTTCCTTAAAAATCAGTGAAATGAAATTGAGCTTCCTTGCTTATGTTTATTGGCCATTTTTTCTTCACATTGATTTATTTGAGAGGCATCAAGATAAGGACAGACAGACTCAAGAGAGCTCCTATGAACTGGTTCACTTCCCACATGATGACAACATCCAGGACTGGCCTGGTGGAGGGGGAGTGGGGTGGTGGTGGTCAAAACCACGGGACAGGAACACCATCTAGGTCTCCCATATGGGTTCTGAGAATTCAACTACTTGAGCCATCACTGCTATGTCTTAGGATCTGTACTGACAAGGAAGCTGGAATTAGGAGCCAAAGCCAAGGATGGAAACCAGCTGCTCCAACATGGGATGTGGGGCATCCTGGCATCGCATCATAAACCCTGTCTTAACTGCTAGGTATCGGCCATTTTAAATGCCCTTTCCATTAAATGCCTTTTCACACTTTCTCCTTTTTCTGTTTAAACATATTTTTGCTTAAAAGACTACATATGATCCTTTATCATCTGCATTAAGTTTTTCATTAGTCATTTTACATTGAGCCTATCCATTTTGTTGTACATAAAATTTATACTGGTATGTAATCATATTTCTCATTATTTTTCATTAGGACTTCTGAATATGTGCCATTCAGCCAAGTTGTTACACCAAATATCCTTACTTAAATTAATTTATAAGTTACTGCTGGAACTTTAAAGATTTTTTTCAAGCTTTGTTTTAAATATTTCAGTCTTTGATCCATTAGGACTTACTGGTTTTTAAAGAATAAGGAATATATATCTTTTGATATTTACTTGTCATTTGGAACAATAAACAGTCCCAATTTTTTATTATTCCATCCTTCTTCCATAATTCAAAATGTCACTTTTATCACAGATTTTTCTTGAAGTTAGGTCTATTTCTAGACCATGTATTCTTTTCCATCAACTTATTTGCCTATTCTTTATTTAACACTAAGCTCCCAATTACTGTTCTTCAGAATATTTTAAGATCTGGTAAAATTAGAATCCCAATGGCATTACTTTTTTCATAGAAAATTGTCAAAAAATACTTTTTTTCTGATTTTCTTTTACCAAGTTGATATTATAATTGGAATTACAATGATAATTTCATCTAAACATGGAAATGACATAAAATATCTATTATTACTTAATTATTTTAAAAGCTCTTTTGGTTTTTGTTTTCCTAAAGAAGAGGTTTAGGGAGACTGGGGGTGAGCTCCAAATGACCTGCCCAGTATACACAGGGCTCCGGGAGAATTGCTTAGTTTCTTTCTTCTTTAGTTCCCTCAGCTATGTCATTTTAATATTTATTTTATTTAATCCTCTTGAGGAAAACTTATGTTAAAACCTACAGGAAGCACTAACTATATATGCTCATGTTTCTAAAACATAAATACATATGATGTGTTAACATGACTTAGCCATCTTGTTAGTAATTAGTTACCTGTCAACTGTTTAGAGATGGGGATAATTAAACAAATTTCTACACATGATTTATCTCCAAAAGATATTAAATTTTATATGATCTATTTTAATGACAGTAGCTACTCCTGTAACTGAGGAAGGGAACCCGTCTTGTTTCTTTTCACTTGATATGCCCGCTTATAACTCTGAGTCACCAGCAAGTTAAACTTTTCTTCGTGATGTCGGAATATTAAGGTCACAGTGTCCTTTCAGACAGGGATCTGGAAATCTCTCCTCCAAGTATTTGCTGCTAATTCTAGTATCTTAAAGCCCTGTAAGCTAATCTCTTCTAAAACACACTATGGTATTTGAAATTTTCATTTTCTACATTACTCAAGGGAAACAATGCAGTCGCTTGTCTGGCGGGAGCTAAAAGTTAAGTTCTACTAACAATGAATTTAGTTTCCAAAGGGGGGAAAAATGTTTTCTCAGCTTTCTGGGTTCTCTGCAAGCACCATGGGAAAATATAAGCTTATTCTAGACATCCTGTTTGCTTGTTTTGTGTGTGCCTCCATGCATGTGTGTGTGTTGACTGGAATATACTTGCCCAGAGACGTGTTTGTGACTTTCAGCTTGATTTCTAACCAGACAAGGAAAGTGAGTTTCTTATATCCAGACTACAGACCCTAAAGGGGCTATTACTTAATCTTATTCATCATGAGGACTAATATTTATTGAGTGCTTTCTGTGTTCTACAACTGGATAAATGATCTACATTGATTCTTTCTTTTTTTTTTTTTTGATTATTTCATCACATCCTCATAATAGCCTTGTAGGGTAGAGATCACTAAATAATGTTACGTTTTTCCTTTCACGTCACTGTTAATTCTTAAAGCAATAATACTGTTTCTTTTTCTTCTTAGTTGTGAAATGAAGCTGTATTTACCAAGGTGAGGCAATGAAGCAAAAAAGAGTTAATATGGACATCACTAATAATAAAACACATTATATTAGGTCAATTAATATGTAATAAAATAATTTAACAAGACAAGTTAAAATGCGTTCATTTTAAGACACTTCATAGCTAAATAAGGAACAATAAAGCACGTACATGGTTTTATGTTTGGAAAACGGTTTTTTGCTCTATTCCAAGGCAGATCGGCATCAGTTGAAGAAAGATCCTGAAGAAATTTCGGTAATTCCTGCAAAATAAATCCATTGCGAAGTTTATATATGTGTATGAGAAAAACAAGAAATTCCATTAATAATATAAAATTCTATATTCTAAAACCTTTTGTTTTTAAATTAAAAATACCTAACTGTGGAAAGGCCAAATTAACAGTAATGAGTATACCTAAATTTTCACCATTAACATCCTAAATAAAATGAGTCAATTAGATTCTTGCCCTGAGATAATTTTTTGGACCTGAGAAGCCCTCAGATATGCTACCATGTTAGTGAGTCTTTTCCATGTGTTACATACACACACATACACAGTATTATTTAATGTTTTAATGTCTACTTAGTAGGCAGAAGGTAGTGCAATGATTTATTTTTTGTTTTTTCTCCTCGTGCAGTGTGATTTCATGCCTATTAATTGGTATAACATTGGTCAGTTTGAGAAGACGTCAAAGGTCAATTCTTGTTCTCTGTAAGCATTGTTAAATCCAAGGTGGAATGCAAAGGGACAATTACAAATTGTCGGATGCAGAAGAAAGGTCAGGAAGATCTATAATTGACATTTTGTGACACGTCATGATATTATACATCTACCTTGGTTTTCCATTTTAGAAATCTCATCTCGCCAAATTCCTTAAAAAGTATTCGACATGTTTGTCTTTCACAATTTTTCAACATATTTATTTTTTTCATTGGAAAATCTTCCCTTTTATTACCTCAGAAAGAAAATCTGCACGGTTGTTTGCATGTAGAGAAAGACCACATCTGAGTTTTGATGTGGTGGCACCAAAGGCTCAGCAAAAATTCTTAACCAAATAAGAGTCCTTGAACAGCTTCCTTGTGTCAAGATGTTGGGGCTTCACAAGAAAGGAGGGGAAGACAGAGTTGGAAACTGAGAAATGGTACTTACATTTTGCAACTATTTAATATAAAAGTCTATTTATCAATTTAAATGATTCTGGTGTTGAGAAGCCATGCTCTGTTACTGGGTTGATTATGGGACGGCAAAGTCACAGTAGGTGCCTTTGTTATTAGGGCACTGAGGGCCTCACTGATTTTCCCTATTTAGCTCTTTCTCCTATTTGTTTTTTTCCTCTTTTCACTGGGATCAGAGATGACTGAGACCATTTCTCATCCTTATGCTTTTGCACTTTCTTCCCCTCTCTGGAATACCTTTCCTCCTTTATCATTTCATTGCACTTCTGCTTATCCAGATGTTCACCAAAAGGCCAGCTTTATTTTATGAAGTCTTTTCTGATTCACAAGTAGAGCTGACTCTCATCTATGCATATCTCTCTCACAATTCAGAGTATTTGCAATTTTTTGTACCTGTCCACTGTTCCTACTCTACTGTGAGCTTCTTTAATGGTAGGAATTATCATCATTGTCATCATATGTTCTAATACTTGTACCAGTTACTTCTGTTACTACTGTACAGATTTCATCATTTTAGTGTTCACAACTCAGGGATATAGGTATTGTCTTTTTACAGAAGATGCCACTGAGGTACAGAGAATTTGTGTTACTTGCCCAGTGTCACTTAGCTGGTAAGTGCTGTCTAAATACTGATTTGCCAGATACAATATCTACCCCAAGAAAGCAGCTATAAATATTTACATGAATATGACAGAGTTAAAGGGTTTATTAAATACAACATGCAATTGCTTATCACAGCATAAGAATTTGCTTTTAAAAATACTTCTAACAGGCCGGTGCTGCGGCTCACTAGGCTATCCTCCGCCTTGCGGCGCTGGCACACCGGGTTCTAGTCCCGGTTGGGGCGCCGGATTCTGTCCCGGTTGCCCGCCTTCCAGGCCAGCTCTCTGCTGTGGCCAGGGAGTGCAGTGGAGGATGGCCCAAGTGCTTGGGTCCTGCATCCCATGGGAGACCAGGAGAAGCACCTGGCTCCTGCCATCGGATCAGCGCGATGCGCCGGCCACAGTGCGCCGGCCGCGGCGGCCATTGGAGGGTAAACCAACAGCAAAGGAAGACCTTTCTCTCTGTCTCTCTCTCTCACTATCCACTCTGCCTGTCAAAAAAAAATTATAAAAAAAAAATTTAAAAAAAGCTTCTAACCATTGGTTTCAAAATACTACTATAGTTTTAATGATCTGTAATTATTTTAAAATTTACTGTATGTGGGTGAAATGGCCATTTTCCATTCATTTATTATGTATAGCCATTGCCTGCAGTCCCAATAAGCGAAGGTCTTTTTGCTGTTTACTTGTTAAACTTATTTGGCAAAGTATTAAGCCATTTTACAGTGATGTCAATTTAAAATATGTTATCCCCAAAATTAAAAAAGTAGGAAGAAAGAAGGAAGAAGGGTGGTGGAGAGAAGGGGGGGGGGAGTATCATTATGTTCTTAGAATTGCACCTACAAAGTACATTCAATCTGTTAAAAGCTAATTATAAATTAAACAAAAATACTTCTAAAATATTAAGATAAAAACAATTTCAAAAAACTAAATTTTTAAAGCATGCCATTCAAAAAAGTTAAGCTAAAAACTTTTTGAACATAATATATGTGAAAATATTTTTGCTCATAAAACATTTCATCCATTCAGTCATGCATAATGCAATTATATTCGCTCTGATTCTGGTGAAATTCCACTTTTGCTCTTGAAAAATTGAGAGTTCTCACTGTATACATGCAAAAAAGAATTTTATGGTACCATTGATTTTGTTAAGTCCAGACCAATATTACTTAACAAGCATAACCAAAAAGCTGCAGGAAATACCATTAATCTTTTCACATTTTTGTTACTACTCCCTGAGAGACTGAAATGTTATAATCCTGAATTATTTAAGCCAATTGTTTGATTCTTTGTTTCAAGTTCACACACTTTAAGAAGCCCATTAAAAAACTAAATGTAAATAAAAATTTTGGTGACATTTACAAATCCATTTTATTTTTATAATATAAAATGATCATCTAAGTCAGGGAAGATGTTTCCAAGTCTCAAGATAGTTGATTAACTCAATATCTACCTTATGTTTTAAAATAATGTCAGTTGATATATAAAACGCTAAAAACAAAATTATCAAAATTATTCCCATCTTCAAAAAATTTTAAAAGTGACAAACTCCTAGGCTTAATATCTCCACAGTGTGTCACAAACTTTATTCCATAGTAATTTAAAAATTGGACTTGGAAAACATCTACATTATTCACCTGCTTTTTAAAAATTTTCAGATGGTCTTAGAAATAGCATTATTTTTATAGTTTCTGGAAACATCAATTTCTGTCATCATATTTATCTATATTACTCATGTCAACTAAGGAGGTAATCATTGAGTGTCTAAATCTACAATAATTACTTAAATATACAACTACATGTACCTTAGAACCTAAACTTCACAGGTAAACAAACTGTAAGCATACGAGAATCTAGACTGCACCTATAACTGGATCAATGAGGCCAGGCTTCCCAAGCAGGGGTCTGAAGAAGAGCACCTTCCCCTGACACAGTAGGTGAGTAATTCCGATCAGGTTGCACCAGAGGCTGCCCAGTGTAACATTACTATCCAAACAATCAACCTGGTAATTGGGTATTGATTATCAAGGCCAGAGTCCTTGGCGGCCTGGCATGCTTAAAATGGACATGAAATGTGACACATGAAGCGACTGGAGGTCTGGCAATGTTGTGACAACTGCTGGTAGCATACCGAAAATTCTTCTTGAAACTTTAGGTTGTTGTTTGTGCAAAGCTCTTCAACATGTTGCAGGAAGGATTTCTTGTTTATTGGCCTCCGAGTAAAGAAAGGTATAAAATGGAGTCATGTTAGATTGCATTCTTTGCTTTAGCATGGGCACAGGCTGCACATTAGCAAGTTAAAGAACACTTGACATTTCAAGAACCACCACGACACTGCCCTGTAAAGTCACTCTGTCATAATGACAAAATTAACTTTTAAAGTTCACTTCCTTTGCATTCACAAATACAAAATTCCTTCAGTTTTCCAGTGATTTTTTAAAATGAAGGATTTAACATTGTAGTGAAGAAAGTTTTTCAAGTAAATGGAAGGGCATAAAGTTATCATTGATTCCTAAAGCACATAATACTTCTTTGTCATACAGAAAACATTTTATACATTACAAGGTTTTAGAAGATATAAAATATTGCAGTGACCTCATTCTCATAATGACATGGTTTTTAAACCCCAAGGAGTTTAAATATCCCCGTATTACTTCCCAAGCTAAAATACAGACATGCAGGCTTCACCCCAGAGAGAGAGAAAGCATTTCTCCAGTTACCATGCAATTAGTCATGCTTTTATGATTTATATCCAGCTTGGGGGTTTTTCTAACAAACATACAAAAAGGGAACCACACATTAAGATTCAGTGAGTTGGAGAATTTTAAAGCTGATATTCTAAGAGAAGAAATATTTCACAAACTTACTTGATGGATTTTCTATAACTAAGTAACCTGCAACAGAGATTGTGTTAAATTCATTGAGATTTGAAGGGGAAAGCTCTTCCTGAAAGATTTCTAGATTAAAATTGTAGAATTATAATAAATTAGCAATATACAATATGCATACTTTTAACTAATATATGATCATTATTTAAAATTCTATTGCATTTTTTTGAAATTATATTACTTGGACTCCAATAAGACCAAGTAATAATTCACTCCTCTCCCCAGCCACACCCCCAAATATTTGTTATTATTTTGTTAGGCATTTGGGATAATTTAAAAAATATATTGCATAGTATTTAGTAGTCTTAAAGAGCTAATGTGATTTTTATAACATTTTCTGTATTCATAAAAAGTTTCAAAACAAGGAGAATGAATCTATGAAAATCGACATCATGTTGTCTAAGTCTTGTTTGATGAGTGAGTTTGAATGATTACACAGCTATAAACTTTAAATTTCTTTTTTGATAGGTCACGGGCCAACTTTTTTTCATTCTGAAAAAACCTGAGATAATTTGCACCAGGTAAATAGAGTATGCAACACACACAAAGGTAGAGATGGGCACATCATTAACAACACAGGTTTGTCATGCACAACAAATTAGCACTGCAAAACCCAACAAAGTCATGAAATATAACACAATGACATGAAAATATGAGGTTTTTCAAAATTCTAGATTTTAAATAGTATTAGGAATGATTTAACTCTATTCTTTAAGGAAAGAGTATAAGATTTTTTGAAGGATAAAAGAAAACAATTGGATTAAAATGTGGCATAATGAATATTATGAAAGTGGTCACAAATAGATATGTTCAGTGAAGAAAACATGAGACAACAGGTAGTATATCTCACTACAGTACAGGGATTGATGAAAACTCTGGGGTTGCAGCAGCAGCATGGTGGCATCTGCAGGAATGTCCCCAGGCAGGAGGAGCTACCTTCCAGGCTCTTATGGTAGGACCTGGGAAAGTATCCCAATATGAAGCATGGCATGGAAGAGGCGAGGTGGCAATGCTGAACACAGTCCTGGTGGATAAGATTAGGAGCTTCCCAAAGACCCTGCAGCAGTTCTAACGGGGCAACAGAAAATGCTCAACTTTGACTAGATGGACATGGAGATGTTTGAAGGGCTACTGAATCAGAAGAGTCTTAACTTAGGGAATGGAAAAAAACAATGTCTGAAAATTGAGGTGCTATAAATATGTCCAACATAGTAATGGATGCAGTGGGAACTAAGGCAAAAATCAATCCTCCGTCCCTAGCAAGGACCAGCAATAAAAAGGTAACCACAGGCTAAACATAGTCTAGTCCTCCTTAGACAACTGGTGGCCCAATGTCCCTATGTTGTCACGCTTTTCAAAAATAGGAAAGGGTCCCTTTGGGCAAATCCTGAAGAAGTGATTTAAATTATCAATGACCAAAATGCTTCAATTAGCAAGATCCATTTCCCTGTGACTGTGTGAAGATGGAAATTCGTGACCTGTGTGTAGACCACTTTTATAGTAACAGGGAACATTATTCCATCTGTGACTTGTAAAATTTAACATACCATATCCTATTTAGTGACAGGCTTATGGCCCACCTATTTAAGGACAGACTGCCATCCTACAATGGAGAGATTCTTTTTCCCAGAAGATTCAGGATTATTGGAAACTGTAGTGGGAAAATTACTGGGACAGCTGGTACCTAAAATAAATGCTAGTTTCTGAGAACTCATTTTAAGTGGTTCAAAGAATTGGTATATATTTGTGAAATCTCTAAGACATATTAAGTACAAATAATCACATTAAAGTATAAATGATCAAGAAATAGCTAAAGCACATCCTTTCTCCTCCTTTTAAAAATTTACTTGAAAGAGCAACAGAGAGGGAGGGAGAGAGGGAGAAGAGAGAGGTGGGAGAAGATGGGGAGCAGAAGAGAAGAAAGAAGGCAACATATCTTCATATACTGGCTCACTCCCCAAAAGGCAGCAATGGCCTGGGTAGGACCAGGCCGAAGTCAGGGGCCAGGAACTCACTACGGGTCTCCCTGCAGGTGGCAGGGACCCATGTACTTGGGCCATCATGTGCTGCCTCCCAGGGTGTGTATTAACAGGAAACTAGATCAGAAGTAGAGGCAGGATTCACCACCAAGCACTCTGAAATAGGATGTGGGCATTCCAAGTGACAGCTTAACACACCATGCCACAACACCTGCCTTTCTCTTCCTTTTAAGGTTTTAAAATATATATTTGAAAGGCAGAGTGACAGAAGGGAGAGAGATGACAGAGACAGTAACATCTACTTGTTCATTTCCCAAATGCCCACAACAGACAGCACTGAGCAAAGCCAAAGCCAGGAGCCAGGAACTCCATCTGGGTCTTCCACTTAGGTGGCAGAGACTCAAGTATTTCAAATCAAGTGATCGAAGAAAATATCCAAAGGACATATCAAGTGATTCGAAGGAAATTGATTTTCACATCAAGTGATTGAAGGAAATATTCAAAATCTTACAGAAAAATTCTATTAACATTTTCAAATATTTTTTAAAATGTTAAACATAATGTGATTTTAGACAGCTGAAGTACTATTTATTTACAATAGTTAATATTACTGTCAAAATATATTCAGTTCATTAGTGAATAAATCAATTTGAGAATTACCCAGATTTCAGTAAGATAACTGGCCATTTTCCAATATAAAGGGCTAAACACTTTTTATTACATGAATCTTAGCTTTCTTAATCCTACTCCTTTTTGTTGAAACGGGTATTATTTCACGTCTGGGTTCATTTCTTTAAAGTCTATCAAAAACTTAAATTCCACTCAGATTACTCCTGGTGGATCCAGAGAGAAACCATTTATTTATGTTGGCAGTGGTGATTGAAGACCATATTGTCACAGAGACTCAGCTTTCCCTCAAGGTCAATTGGTTGAAATCTATAGGGAATTAAAATATCGTCCTAATAGAGAGCCCCTGATGATAACCTATAGATGAGTAGTTTAAATCGGCATTGCCAGCAGCATGGGACAAATGGAGAAACTTTCTACTTAACCAGTGAAGTTGGGTTAAAAAGAAAAGAACTTCAAATACTTGCCCTGCTATAAAAATGTGTATTTATTGCTAGTAACATGATCTCACAATTCAAATAGCAAACATATGAATAATCTTTCAGGTAAAACATAAGTACTTCCCAGTTTTGTATAATACTGAATGAGTGTGAAGTTTTAGTTTATATGTTTCTAATTTCTTATAAATTTACAGTGTCTACCAAAATTCTTTTGAGAACCCCTAAAGTTTTTTTTTTTTTTTTTTTTTTTTTTCCGTGCTAGGCTATGAAATACTGTCCTTTTAGTTCCTTCTTCACTATTTTACCAAATCATCAGTAATGTTTCTGTGGTTCTCAAGCTGATTTAAAAATATTATCCTCACCAACAGTTAGTACTGTATAGTGGACTCTAAAACATCGCTGTAAGGGAAATAACACATTTCTAAGAAAACTAAAAAACAGCCAATGGGGAAGTGACACCTGCAACTTTTTTTTTTTTTTGACAGGCAGAGTGGACAGTGAGAGAGACAGTCAGAGAGAAAGGTCTTCCTTTTCTGTTCCTTTTCTGTTGGTTCACCCTCCAATGGCCGCCACGGCTGGCGCACCGCACTGATCCAATGGCAGGAGCCAGGTACTTAGCCTGGTCTCCCATGGGGTACAGGGCCCAAGGACTTGGGCCATCTTCCACTGCACTCCCTGGGCCACAGCAAAGAGCTGGCCTGGAAGAGGGGCAACCGGGACAGAATCCGGCACCCCGACTGGGACTAGAACCCGGTGTGCCGGCGCCGCAAGGCGGAGGATTAGCCTAGTGAGCTGCAGCGCCGGCCACCTGCAACTTTTCAACATGTCTTCTCATATCTGTATGGACAAACAGGTTTGAAAGGAGCCGTGGCAATCTGAAGAGCAGGTCTTTGGAGGCAATGTATTTCATTTACATCACAGTTTCTCTAGTGTGTAGAACAGTGCCCAGCACTTGATAGGATGATAGTTGTTTAATTCAGATGACATGAAGTGGCCTTTTAGATAGAGATGGGAATACAACAGTCCCACTGATGTCAACAAGCTGAGGTCTGGTCACCTAGGTGACAAGTGTTCAATTTTCCTTATTATGAAGCCTTTTCATGTTAGTACATATGGAAACAAATTATTGAAAGATGTTTTATTTGGTCACCCATGTATTCTAAATTAAAACCATGAGTGTAACTTAGCTGCCTCAAGGGCAATAGTGCAGGAAGCAGTAGATGGGAAACGGAGACCGCTGACAGCCATGGGACAGGCAGAGGAGGGTTCTCGGTGAGAGCAGGAAGCAGAACCTCTCCCACACAGAAGCTTTACAGGCTCCGTAATAGTGATGTGGCAGGTGAGCAGCGCAGTGCTTCTGCCGGAGTCTAGAGGCAACCTCAGAACGCCACACTTGGAAGAAGACCAGGTCTGCTTCCACCAAGATCACCCATACAGAGGCGTTCTCTGCAGGTTCCAATTCAACAGTTTAGCTCCATCAAAGTGAGGACTTTGAGCAGGACAATATTCACTGATTCTAAAAATGGACACTAGATATGAAATAGTGAGGGTTCTGTAAAAATGGAAGCATTTTCCTAAGGTATTGAGGTAATAAAGCAAAAAAAAAAAAAAGCTAGTGGATTCTATTCTAGGATGACAAGGACAGACACTCAGCAGAGTTGCTCAACTAGACGACTTTTCTATTTGGGATGCAGGAGGTCAGCTCTGAGCACTGGGGTTGCAAATAGTTCTTTTATGTGCAGTGTCATCAATTCAATCTTTAGTTCAATCATAGCACCTTATCTGACAAATATTTAAATATCATCAAGAAGTTCCTCTGAGGAGAATATATTTTCAAAAAAAAATTTTAATTCTGTCAATGGGAATTTGGAAATGAGTTAATCTGAAGTAAAACAGGGTTACTTATGGTTTCAAAATCCTAAATATGTTTGGGGTACAAGTGAATGTTAGGAGTATTGGCCCATCCAGCCTACATGGCTCATGGAGACTGACTCCTCTTTGTCTCTTCTTTTGTTTTTAAGTTTAAAATGAAACAAATTTCACTGTCTTCCTCCACTCATCTCCTTTGTGTGAAGAAATTTATCATCTCTGGGCACTCAGTTATTTGCAGGGTTCCCTGCTAATGCTGGGATATTGCTTTGATGCCTTCACAACGTGTCAAAAATTTTGTACCAGGATACAAATGACATTTCTGTGCATCCGAGGAGTGCCTGGAAGCATGAGAAGTTAAAGGTTCCACAAAACATGCTACTCTTTGTGTGCACGAGAGCGTTAGAGAACTGAGACCAGGACATGTCACTGTGTGTCTTTACAGCACAGAAATGAGCTTGTGTCAAGTGTGAATTCAGATTCCACCTATAAACTGGACAACTCAGTCTTTGTGCCATGGCAATAACAGAACACGAAGCCTAGAAAGAAATCTAAGTGAAAACTTACTCTCAACGCTAACACAACAACACAGCAAATTCTCAGGACATGCACATCATTAGTTAATGTGCATTTTTTATAAGATTAATTTTACAATATCAGTAGCATGCAGTAGGACATGTTAGTAGAAAGCATTTTTTTTAATTTTAAAAAATGATACGTTAAGCAACAGAGATGCTCAATATTCTGTACTTTAAAATATAGAACACACCACCTGCCAAGTTTCAGATGGTCACAACACAGCTCTGCATTAGCACAGTAACTTACTGAATGACAAATATCTCCTTGCGTCTAAAGAAGAATGAAGAGTATCTGGAAGTAAAGAGCCATTATTTATTTAGTGTACACATGACAATATTTTTTGAACATGAGCATTAAATATATTAAATTTCATTCTACTTGCAGGACATTTCCTGTATTCACATATTTTTGCCATAGATTGCAAAGACAGTTTAAGACATGAGTAGAATTAAAGGCCAGAATGTGTTCAGGAGCAATAATTAAAACACAATGTATTTTACATAAGATTTCATATATCATTAAAGATTATATACTCCTGTTGAAGGCAAAATAAGACTTGCACTGCTAACAGTTTCCCCATTTCTTTAAGCTTCTGTCATGCTAAAATGTTAGTGTGCCGTCCCATTTTGTGAGAGCACAAATTAATAAAAAAGGCCACGTATTTTCTTAGACTCACTTTCACCATAGAAAATGATGCTGGAGAATACCCTGGGTCTTTGTTTAAAAGTCATTCACTGATCTCCTCTAGTAGGCTTCAGAATTAAAGATAAACATGTGCATTGTGACTCTCTTACTTACAAGCTATATGACGCTGGAAAGTCATTTAAACTCTTGAAACATTTTTTAATATCTGCAAAATGATATGACTACCTAGGTCAGCAGCAGCATTTAACCATCTATTAGTTGCTCATAAACAATAACATTACTATGTAGCAAACTCTGTATTGAAAGTACATTGTAATACTTTTTAATTTTACAAATATAAGTAACAATAACAATATCAAATTTATTCTGATTTACAGTTTACAAAGCATATTCATAGCACTGTTCAAATGGTAAGTTTCCTAAGGACATAATGCTATAGCATTTAACAAGAATTCAACTTGCACATTTCTAAAGTTACTGAAAAAAGAAAATCATTGAAGAAAGATTCTACAAAAATAGTAACTTTTACAAATTTTTCAGTTGTTTGATTAATTTTGCTCAGAGTTTCACTTTATCCAGGATTACTGGATTGGGCCTTGATAATTAAAATAAATGTGCTTTTATGTTCACTCATAGGCAGGATAATTACTATGACATGAAAACAGAACTCTGGGAAAATAGTTGAGATTTAAAAGAAACTGAATTTCTGTCCACTAAGACTCAGTAATATTAAATAATGTTATTTCTCTATTTTTTCTCATTTGATCCCCATAGTAAATGTCTATAGCAGAAGTGTGAAAAGAGGTTAATAAAAACAAACATTTTAAAGCATGGTAAGTCTTTGCCTTGGGAAAATTCTGTTGTATTATGTAATTTTAAGTGTCATTCTCTTTTGGGAAGGTAATCTGTGTTACACTTGAACTAGTCAAAGACAATCCAGTGAGACTCAGGAACTTCAGAGATACAAGTCTGTGCCCTACCTGCCTGTGTCTGCTGATTTTGCCAATTATGTCCTCCTAGTAATCTTTCTCAGTCACATAAGTGGTTGTGTTTTGCAGGAGCCATCACAAAATGTTGTTTTGTTAGTTTAATTAAATAACAAAGCCCAAGGATTGTTTCCTAATTTGGTGAGTATGGAATGAATGAGTCCAACATATTAAATACTATTTGAGAACTATAGGTTGTATTGTCTAAACTAACAGACTGCATAATCTTGTGTACAGTATGATTGCATTTCAATTAAGAATTGAAAATATTATTTTATCATACCTGAGTTCTCATGGAATTAAGGAGTAATAATATTTTATTTGATTTCTGTTTTCCTTTAGGAAGAAGTATAAAGTAAAACATTGTATCTTCAAATTCTTTGTGAAACAAAATGGAATTTAGTTAAAGCATGAGAATTTACTCATACAAAAATTCCAGAATGGGTTTTAAAATGTAAGTAAACAAGCAGAGAGCTTAAAACATTTAAATAATTTCTCAAATACAAAACCCCAAAGTTTGGCAACTACATAACCCCCTAAAATTAGTATTTTAAAGACTTATTTTTCTCTGATTTTTTGGACATGTGAAGATGTAGAACATAGGGAAAAATTGCAGTCTCAATTTAATTGAAAACTTTGATAGGTTGGAAGTAAAAAGGCATGCCTGACCCAAGTGGAAAAGGCATATATTAGCTGGGTAGATTTAATGGAAATTAAGTTCTTTCCTGTCCATAACAAAAAGATATGGCCTAAGTTACCCAACAATTGTGGGAGGTAACTTAGATTCCTTGATTCTCTGTTCCCAGATTCTACCATCAGGTTCTGAATTTGAATTCATTTAGAATCTCAAGCACCTCAAAATCAGGTGAAAAACTTTTGAGCCGCACTGAAGGACAGCTTGTGCATCTGCACGTGCAGCCAACTCTAAGATGTTAGTTTTTATGTTGTTTCTGGTCTTCTTGTCTCAAATATCAGTGATTTTATTAACATGAAAAAAATCATAGATCTCCATAATGAAGAGTAAATATTTGTTATTTTAAAGAATTTCTATAGTAAATCAGCAAAGCTGTCAATGGAATTACAAATAAATGTGTTTTACAGTCATGAATGACAGATCATAACAAATGAGAAATTATAAAACATAGAAAATATTATTTCCACTTATCCTTTTATTGGGATAATGTATACTGATTTTCTATGTGCAAAAGCAAAAATTATTGGAAATATTTCACTTCTATATCTTTTTACAAATAATGTGATTACATAAATAAACAGAGAAGCTTAATGAGGAGTCAAGGTCAAATAAAGAAGGCCCTGAATTCTATTTTATTTTTATTTATTTACCTATCTGACAGGCAGGGAGACAGAGAGAGAGGGAGGGTTCACATCTACTGGCCAAATCTGGGACCTGAGAACTCAATCCAGGTGTCCCACATTAAATATATGTGCCCTAAATTCAGGACTCTGAATTACAAATACCCAATAATAAACAATCCATACAGTCCTTGCCCACCTTTCATATTATCTGAAGCATCTATGCCATGAGAGTCATTATGAACAAAAACAAAACCTTATAGCTCTGGATAATGGCTGTCCTCGGCTCAGAAGTGGAGGAAGCCGTAAGCTGTGAAAACACACAGAGCTTAAGGGAACTAACCTCACCACAGCCTCCCTAACATGGGAACCCCTTGCTGAACTCATTCTCCCCTATGGACTAGGTTTGTTCATTTTATTCTGTTATGTTTCCTAAAGATCTACTTACCAAGGACTTTTAGATGTTAATAAAGATTGTTTAAAAAAACAAAAGAAGGGGCCAGCTTTCTGGCAGAATGGGGTAAGCCACTGCTTGCAACTAGGACTGCTGGGTCCTAGCTGCTCCATTTCCCATCCAGATCTCTGCTACTGGCCTGGGAAAAGCAGCAGAAGATGGTCCAAGTGTTTGAGCCCCGTCACCCACGCGGGAGGCCCGGAAGAAGCTCCTGGCTGCTTGCTTCAGCCTGGCCCGGCCCTGGCAGTTGCGCCACTTGGGGAGTGAACCAGCAGATGGAAGATCTCCCTCTCTTTCTTTCTCTCTCTCTCTCTCTCTCTCTCTCTCTCTCAACTCTGCCATTCAATTAAATAAATATCTTAAAAGAAGATTAGAAAATGCTTTACAAATGTTATGGGTTTAGAAGTTCACATTTTAGTATAAGCTGATTCAACTAAATTGTTCAAGTATTTCAAATTAATTGCATGGAAAAATTTGAAATTTTAACCCTAGTGTACTTTCAAGTGTTGAAGAAAGAGATTGGGGTTCTAGGCATGGGGAGAAGAGAACAAGGAATTGAAAAAGAAATTCAGAAAGGGAGTTCAGCTGAAATTCTTGAAATTCAGTTGGTCCATAAAGGAAGGGAGAACAAACTTCCTTTTACCATACAGAGCGACTCCTTAAGGACCTAAACATAGCTGAGAACTGTTGACTCTAGGGATCACTGTGATATGGTATGGCTTGGTGGATTATGCTGTGACTAGAGTTTGGATGTGGTTTGTCCTGCAAGGATTCCTGTGTTGGAAGCTTGGTCTCCAGTATGGTGGTGTTAAGATGTGGTGAGACCTTTAAGAGGTGGGACCTAATGGGAGGTCACTAGGCAGCTGGGGATGCTGCTCTTGGAAGGAAATCATGTAGTCCTCACGGAACCCTGGATAGTTCTCATGAGAAGGTTCTTAGAGTAAGATTGGCTCCACATCTACTCAGTCTGGCTCCTTTTTCACCACATGGTCACTTGCTTTCCCACATATCCTTGCCAGGATGTGATGTAGCCAAGGGCCCCTTTACCAGAGGCCAAATTGGTGGGGCCACACTATCTTGAACTTTTAGCCTTCCAAACTGTGAGCTAAATAATCCTCTTCTCTTTATAAAGTACGTGGCCTCAAGTGTTTTGTTATTATAACATAAATGGGCTTAATATACATGGAAATCTATTGGTGTTTATAAAGGTATAATATTTCTTATATAGAAAATGATGTCCTGGGTGAAAACAACCCCCTTATTATACATTGGTTTTTTTGAGCATTACTCATTTGTGCATAGGAACAGTCTGTAATTATAATATAAACAAAGAGCAACATCTTAAAAGACTAAGTTTACATATTCATCAAACCAAGTTTCCTTTGCAGTTTAGTGATAACACTGAATAATCTCCATTTAGTAGTATTTGAAGGACCCTGTTTATCGGTTGATACTTCCCTCTATTGTACATATAAAATAGCCATAGATATGTTGAAAATATACTTGCAAAGTCAATCTATTTTGAGAGAAAGATCAACTTTGAGAAGTGACAATTATGAATGATTCATTCTTTTTGAAGTCCAAGACTTCAGATGCCATATTTTCAAAATTAAAATCAATTTAAAAAATCTTAAGTTATGCAATTACTTTCTGATACTTTTGTGATTATAAGTATCACATATTGGATATTATAAGAACATAAGCTTGTTAAGACAATCTGACAATAGGCTGTTATTAAGAATTTGATGAATTATCCTAGGTTTTTAAAATATACAAACATTTGAATAATATATAATGCTTTTTAAAACTATTTAAATAATTTTTCCTTAACATTAAACACTTGACTATTTCCTGCACATACCAATCACTACTTTTCCTTCTGAAGATAATTTGAGTTTGTATTTCATTTTTAAATGCTAAACAGTATTAAAATGAAAATGTCATATGTAATTTAGAATTTTATCTAATTTTATGCTAAAAGAACTTTGATAAAGGCTTTTATAATAATGATATAAACAATATCAAATAGTTTCAAATTAAACTTGTGATTAAAAATGTGGCTACTTCAAAAAAAATCTAATGTAAAAAAATTAACATAACGTTAAAGGTTTGGTGGATAAAAATATCTGTCTTAAGAAAAAACCTTGTTGAACATTATAGTCCAAGTTTCATATAGGACTCAAAATATTAGGAAGATTAAGTGATTCTCCGAACATCAGTGAGAACTGTGTAGAAGACGGAGGTCATGCTTTGAAAGAAGATCCCTATGACCTGTGTAAATTGGAGCCCCACAAACACTTCCAACAAGCATAGGTCAGAATAGGGTCATGGCTCCGGGCCCTCTGGACCTCTGTTGGCCCAGAGGAGGGTGCTCACCGCGTTAATCTCTCATCCTTCAGTTCCAGGTCGGCCACTGTGATGAGCTGGTCCAGCTTGAATTTAGTGTCAATAATTTCTGCCTCCCGAGGAGAGTAGGTACCACCTTCTTTCTGCTTCTGTCGAATTCTACAAGGACATGGAGTTCAAGAATAGAATATCATAGGAGGCATACAAAAGTAGGTGTAGTTTTTTTGGTAAAAACATTTAGTCAATTATTTTTTCTGTAATCACTGCTCTGAATATGATGTAAATCTAGGGCTAGCCCACATTATTTTTTCTGTCTTAATCTGATAAAGACTTCTCTACTATAATTGTCGGTAATGAAGTGTTTGGTTGAAGTTTCAGATATAAAGAGTATTAGCTGATCAAGGCTTGAGTCACTGGCACATGTGAAATACAGAGGCAATTAAAATGCTTCTATAAATTTGCTTCTCCTCCTTCTATCTCACTAATTTGTCATGAGAAGGAGATAAGCCAAAGTGGAAACAGCTCAGTGCTATCAATACCAGTGATAACACTCCACTATTATATTTTTATATATATATAAAATATTTTATATGCATGAAAGTTACTTTTGAATGGTCTCATTGACCTTAAGAGAATCTTATGAATTATATAATATTACCTTTATTTATAATCAGAACACTCTTTCAAAAGTGAAAGTCATATGAATATGAGAATGAAATCCAAGTCTTCTTACTTTAATCCCTTTGTGTGTTTATTTCTCAATAAATACTATGGGATATTAAAAGGTAACACTCAGATATCCTATATGTTTTTCACATTTCAAATATTTATTATTTTCATGTGTTGGGTATTAAAGAAGATACAGAAAGTGTTAAATACCTTTCGTAACCTCAACAACACCACAATTTAGTTGAGGGGTAAGATATGAATGTAAAATAAAGCACAGAAAGAGAAAAAATATTTCAATTACAACTGGTGAGACAGCACCTGATTAATGAAAATTATGAAATGTTATATGAGTGATTATGAATATTAGTATTTAGAGGTAGTAAATAATTGGAATTGGATTTGGTGATCTAGGATGAGGAGGAGGAAGCAGCCCATTTAAGATCAACTAAATAAAATAGGGTTGGATAAAAGTCAAAGGGATGTTCAGGTCAGAACAGAGCCCTTTGGCTGAAGAGATGCATGTGCAGGAGAGTTGTAGGGGAGAAGGGGGACCATTTCCTGGCCATGCAAGAAGTTTCATCTTTAAAAAAAAAAAAGAGGTCAGAATATATTTTTGAGCAGGGAAATAATACGAAAATGGCTGACACATACTCTGTTTTTCAAAGTGCCTAGAACAATGACTTTTTTCCTCATCTTCTGTCTGAATTTGCAAATAGTATTTAGTATAAGAAAATATCTTTTTCAAGAATCTTTCAGATTATCCATTAAAATGATGATTTAATAGATTCAAAGATGAAACAGATGATGCATGGCATTCGGAATATATGATGTTTCTTCAGTTCAAGTTGAACCATTTAGGAAATTAGTAGAATGGCTATTTTTACAAATGTAAAGTCACTTTGCCGTCTTCCTTATAAAACAAGTTTTTGGGGTCCTCAATAAGATTTCCACCAAAGTCCTGGAAACAACATTAAGAGGCTGATAGTTGACAGACTCATGCAGACAAACTGATAAAGTCAGGGGTGTCTTATAGAGGAAAGCTGGATGGGAATAAGGGGAGAGAGTTTTTTTTTGTTTTTTTTTTTTAGGGGTGGTGGAGATTTTTTTTTAATATTTTTTTTGCTTTTAATTAATGAATATAAATTTTCAAAGAACGATTTTTGGATTACAATGGCTTCCCCCACATACCGTCCCTCACACCCACAACCCGCCCCTTTCCCACTCCCTCTCCCCTTCCATTCACAAAAAGAATCTTTTTCGAGTATCTTAATATACAGAAGATCAACTTAGGATACATTAGAGAAATAGATTGCCCCCACCCAGAAACATAAGAGAAAAAAAAATAGATGATTTTTTTAAATGATGATGAAATCAGATCAGACCTATTGTCATGTTTAATCCCCGTGAGAGTCAAGTTGGGAGTTGATAATTTCTTTCTTTTTTTTTTTTTTTTGTCTACAGAGGATCAGTTTAATATACATTAAGTAAAGATTTCAAAAGTTTGCACCCCCATAGAAACACAAAGTGAAATATACTGTTTGAGTACTCATTATAGCATTAAATCTCAATACACAGCACATTAAGGACAGAGATCCTACATGAGGAGTAAGTGCACAGTGACTCCTGTTGTTGATTTTACCAATTGACACTCCTGTCTATGGCATCAGTAGTCTCCCTATGCTCCAGTCATGAGTTTCCAAGGCTATGGAAGCCCTCTGAGTTCTCCGATTCTTATCTTGTTTAGACAAGGTCATAGTCAAAGTGGAGGTTCTCTCCTCCCTTCAGAGAAAGGTACCTCCTTCTTTGAAGACCTGTTCTTTCCACTGGGATCTCACTCGCAGAGATCTTTTGCCAGAGTGTCTTGGCTTTCCATGCCTGAAATACTCTCATGGGAAAGCTGGATGTTTTAAAACTGCTATATGTACTGTAAAACTTACCCCTTTAAGACAAAAGAAAACTAGACCCGATTTTAATATTTTCAATTAGACCTATCAAAGTTATAACTTATTTAAAAGAAAGTAGAAGGCCTGGCAGTTTACACTTCTTTGTTAGCACTTCATTGTCTCTCTGTTCCAAATCCACCCTTGGAGGCCTTGCCTTGTGATAGCGGAGCTGAACTCTGTAACCTCTCTCCTGCATCAGCTGGCGGAATGGTAAACTTTGTCATTAGAGGGCAGTAGTGACCCTGCAAGGCAGGAGGGGCAGGGGAGCAGTGTCTTTTGGGGTCTCTGGCCTTGTCTTATTATTATTCATGTGGCAGCCCAGTAGCCCACCCGGATGAGCACCCCCTGCCTCTTAGGTGCGAGCTCTCCCCATCCCATCCATGAATGACTTCAAATAACTACAGCCTTGCCACATTTTCCTGCAGTAGGGAGACAGTGATTTGATGACCAAGTCCACCCTGCCCACCCTCCAATAACGGTGGGTAGCTTGTCCAGAACACCTGCGGTCCCTTCCCCATCACAGATTTTTTTGACCACTGGTAGGTGGTCACTTGTCCTCTCCATCCTACTGAGCCTCTTTCAAGAGTCACACTTTGCTTGGTCACCCTCGCTGCGTCTGGACCTCTTAAAGTTCTTTTACCCCGTTGAATAGTTACCCATTTCTTGATTACTGACACCATAAACAAGAGTGTCAATTGTTAAATCAACAACAGAAGTCACTGTGCACTTACTCATCCAAAAGCTGTACTTTGGAAATTTATATTTATTAAATAAAAGTTAAAAAAAATAGTTACCCATTTCTGTTAGTTAATAACTATTTATATTAAATATTTACCATTCACACGACAGGATTTCCTTCTTTCTTATGGTTAGATTTAGTCAATCTGCAATGAATACATACCTCTCAAAACATCATATTGTGTGCAATAAATACTTAAAGTTTTATCTGTCAATTTAAAAAAAAATGAAATTCTCATTTAAGTAACGATTGTTGCTTCTGTCTCCTGCTTGTACTGTGATTGACCTAATATGCTTAGGGCACACTAGGAATGTGAGCACAAAAGGTATCTTACCTTGCAAATGCAAAAATAGCTGTTCCAAGAAGAATTATTGAAAGGATACACAAAGTGACTGAAAGAATGATCTCTACAGTTCTTTCTGAAAGTCCGTCACCTAGAAAAGGAGACAATTATCATTAAATATTTTTATGGAATAATGTATTGAGTCTAAACCATAAAAATATTTTCTTGGTATATTGCTCAAAAAAGTTAGTGTGTACTAACTTGTTTGTTCCTCTGCTTCTTCTGGGTCATTTCACTTTGGGGTTCAGTCATGGATCCCTTTCCACTGTCAAAAGTCACTCCCCTTTGTGAGTTTCCTCTGTCAAATGTTACTCCCTTTTGTGATTTAAAACAGCCTCCTGCCACGGCTCACTAGGCTAATCCTCCACCTTGCTGTGCCGGCACACCGGGTTCTAGTCCCGGTCGGGGCGCCGGATTCTGTCCTGGTTGCCCCTCTTCCAGGCCAGCCCTCTGCTGTGGCCAGGGAGTGCAGTGGAGGATGGCCCAGGTGCTTGGGCCCTGCACCCCATGGGGGACCAGGAAAAGCACCTGGCTCCTGGCTCCTGCCATCGGATCAGCGCGGTGCGCCGGCTGCAGCGCGCCGGCCGCGGCGGCCATTGGAGGGTGAACCAACGGCAAAGGAAGACCTTTCTCTCTTTCTGTCTCTCTCACTGTCCACTCTGCCTGTCAAAAAATAAATAAAAAAAATAAAAAATAAATAAAACAGCCTCCTGATTTTAATTTCATATGTATATGACTATTTTATTTATCAAACTCCAGACTTCTATGTCCGTTGCCTGCTGGACATCTTTATTTAGAAGTGCAATGAAAATTTCAAAAGCTGACCTCCCGTAAGTCCATCTTTTCAGGTGCATCCTTTGATCTGTCAGTTTATGGAAACTCCATTGCTGTAGATACTCAGACCAAATGCCTGGGAGTCCTACTTGACTCTCTGCCACTTACAGAACACATGACGAAATCCTGATAGCTGTGTTGTCAAAGTATCTATACTTTCCACTGAAAGAAACCAGGAAACCTTCGAGAAATGACAGTTCCAATGCGGGAAAAAGGTAAACGGAATTTAAGACGCATAATGATGTCAGAAAGCCAGGAAGCTCAGCAAAGCTCATAGCTTGAAAAGAACAAAAGATCATCTTGAAGAGGCTGGCTTAAGAGGGAACAATTTAAGCACTAAATAAAAACTAAAGTTCATTGAAGTAGAGAGCATATATCAAAATCACGAGATCTAATATTATTCAATAAAAATAGAAATCAAAAATCACAAAAATGTTGATTTATAAACATAGGTGATAACTGGACCATTTCCCTATTTTAAATATTTAAAATCTTTAATTTTCTGACTTTCTCACATGAACTCTATTTTATGAAATGTTTTTAAAAAAAACTACCTTAGTTAAGGAGATTATGTGTTTTTTTGTTTTTTTGTTTTTTGTTTTTTTTTTTTTTTGACAGGCAAAGTGGACAGTGAGAGAGAGAGACAGAGAGAAAGGTCTTCCTTTGCCGTTGGTTCACCCTCCAATGGCCACAGTGGCCAGTGCACCGTGCTGATCCGATGGCAGGAGCCAGGTGCTTATCCTGGTCTCCCATGGGGTGCAGGGCCCAAGTACTTGGGCCATCCTCCACTGCACTCCCAGGCCACAGCAGAGAGCTGGCCTGGAAGAGGGGCACCCAGGACAGAATCCGACGCCCCGACCAGGACTAGAACTCTGTGTGCCGGCGCCGCTAGGTGGAGGATTAGCCTATTGAGCCGCGGCACTGGCCTGCTGTAGCACCTTGATCATGATCCAGGTTACCATTCTGCCTGGCATGAATTATTATATGGATATGTTTTTGTTCAGATACATTTTATTAGATGGGTAAGGTAGAAATACTTATAGGAAATTAATCATAATTATCTATAAGGCTTTTAACTATGTAAATACAGTTTGTATTCATGTCATCTTCCACCCTATCTGCCATCAAGCTAAGAGAAGAACAGAGGTTAAGACTGTTTTATATTTATACCTGATTCTAATGTGTCCAGTGACAAACACTTGGAGGTTAACAACTACTGGGTTTGTGGTTAATGTTCTGAGGTTATTATTTATCATTGACATTAATGGATCATAGAAGTATTCTGCAAGTAGATATTGAAAAGCAACTATTATTGAACTAAGGGCGTCCCCAGAATATTTTAGGTATGTACCTAGGCGGTAATGACCAAAAACACTGGAGGCCTTGAATAATACTGCTTTATATGGACCATCTGTCGGCTACTAGTATCATACCATGGAACTTACAGGCATACTCTTCAATAAAGAGTGAAAATAAGATTGTTCTCTGTATATCCTCTGGGCCATATAAACAGAGTTAAATTTGTCTGGGCTTGAGTAGGTTACATTGACTACATATATATCTTATTTTTTCTTATAGGTAGATTATTGAAATTTATACAGTGTATTTCATATGTCATACTATTTCTATATTTTACAATAAAAAAAGAACATTTAAATGATAAACTTTTTAGAAAGACCTTCACAAATAAGTGAGCATTGTCCTTCTATTGTCAACATAGCACCAGGGGCAGTTCCTTTAACACATTACCCGCTTTGCTTCACATTCTTCCTTTTTCTTACAGAGAAAATCCAAAGCCTTTGAGATCTGCTCCCCCTTTAGCCCTCTGGTACCCCATTATCTCTCCGACTTCCCTTCTATCCCTACCTTGTTCTTGCCTTTGGAGCCCGAGTTTTATTGATGAATGACTTGAGGTCACTCTTGCCACAGGCCTTTTTCATCTACCTGGAAAGATATTCCTTCTATATGTGCCTGGGTAGCCAACTTATCTCATTTCATTTCTCAAGGACCACCTGTTAGAAACCAAGTATATGTGACCCCCACCCCCACTGTCAAGATTACAAGTTGAAGCCCTAACCCCCCAAAGTCAGCGTAGCTGCATTTGGATGAAGGAAGTAATTAAGATCCAATGAGTCTGTAAGAGTGAGGCTCTGATCTGAGAGAATTGGTGTTCTTGAAGAAGAGACATGACAGCTTGCTTCCTCTCTTCTTTCTTCCCTCCCTCCCTCCCTCCCATCCCACTCTCTTCATCTCCACTCATGCACTGATGAAAGACCTCAGAGCACATAGCAAGAAGGGGGCCATCCGTATACGAGGAAGAAAACCCAACCAGATTATCAAAGGGCCAGCACCTTGATCTTGGACTCCCAGCCCCTGAGCTGTGAGAAATAAATCTCTGTTCTTTGAGACACCTAGTCTATATATAGTAGTTTTTCATGGCAGACTGAGCTCCACAAGTCTGATATTTCACCCTATTTAAAATGGAGATGCAACTCCACGCACTGTCTCTGCCTTCCACACTTCCTGCACTCTAATAGCTTTTATCACCCTTTAACATACATTACACTTAATTTGTTATTCTGTTTATTGTCTGTCATTCTCTCCTGAATGTAATTCCCCTCTGAAGACAGGGGTCTTTGTTTTATCCAAGACTATTCCAAGGGGCAAGTGTTATAGCAGAGCAGTACTGTGGGTTAAGATGCTGCTTGGAGCCTAGGGTGATTACTGGGGCCATAAACAAGAGTGTCAGTTTGTTAAGTCAACAACAGGAGTCACTGTGCACTTACTCCTCATGTAGGATCTTTGTCCTTAGTGTGCTGTACATTGAGATTTAATGCTATAACTAGTACTCAAACAGTATTTTTCACTTTATGTTTCTGTGTGGGAGCAAACTGTTGAAATCTTTACTTAATGTATGCTAAACTGATCTTCTGTATATAAAGAGAATTGAAAATGAATCTTGATGTGAATGGAAGGGGAGAGGGAGTGGGAAAGGGGAGGGTTGCGGGTGGGAGGGACGTTATGGGGGGGAAGCCATTGTAATCCATAAGCTGTACTTTGGAAATTTATATTCATTAAATAAAAGTTTGAAAGAAAAAAAAAAAAGATGCTGCTTGGGATGTGTGTAGTGCTTCAAGTCCCCACTACTCTGCTTCTGATCCAGCTTCCTGCTAATGCACACTTTGAGAGGCACCAGGTGACAGCTCAAGTACTTAGGTCCTTGCCACCAATGTGGGAAATGCAGGAGGAGTTCCAGGCTCCTGGCTTCAGCTTGGCTAAGCCCTGACTGTTGTGAGCATCTTGGCAGTGAACCAGCAAATAGAAGCTATCTCTCTCTTTCTCCCTGTCACTCTGCCTTTCAAGTAAATATGAATAAATAAAAAAATATAAAACTATTCCAAGTTCTAAGGATAGTACTGGACACATAATAAATTTTCAATAAATATTTGCTAAATTTACTAATGAATGAATATATTATTTTGAAACATTAAAATTTTCAGATTGAAAATCAGTTACTGAATCAAGTAAATTTTAAAAGCTGTTAATTATTTATTTTAAGCAAAACTACGGATTGCAATCATAACTAAGTTGTATGATTTAGAAATTTTAATTTTGCTGTAAGAAGAGTGGCAGCTAAGTGACAAAATAGGTTACCCATATTTGAAATATGCAAGATCTTTTTGCTCCATATTGAAGCTTAAGATATTTTACTAATATGAAAGGGTTCCTGTGTTTATTCTGTGTAGTAGTTTTGGATAAATGCTGAATTTTAAATAGTTCTCAGACATTCACAGTCCTCCGGAAACTCCAGCTAAATTGAAAAGAAGCTAAACACCATGTATGTTACACGAGTGTTTTAGATATACCTTTGGTCTACATTAAAATATGAATGGTTTGTGTTTATGCATTTTTACACATTGACTAATTGGGAAGGAAGCATGAAAATGAATAAAGGATCCTATTTGTCAGGTAAATATTGAAATCACAGAATCACCTTAGAATCAGCAGGAAAAAATGATTTCATAAACCACACACGAAATTTTCAGATTAGATTACCATTTCAAAGTGGTGACCAAGTGAGGAAATGACATGTAATATATTAATAAACAATATGTAATCCTTTGGGCACAAGTATTACAAAGGGATAGGACAAAATGTACCCTGTTTGTTGAGTACACTCTGATTCACTGCTACGTAGGGACACTGGGAGAATTACCAGTACAGAATGAGGTCACTTCTCCAAATCTTTTCAAAGAA